TTCCTAACTTTTTTGAAAAATCAAACACATTTCCCTGACTATTTTCAACAATAGTTTTTGTAAAATGTTTGAAACTATTATCTAATGTAATGTAATGGAAATGCTAAAATTGTACATGCTTTAAATGACAAAACTTATAAAACTTAGCTATTAGTTAAGTTGGATATTAGTATGGATCTTATAATACATGTTAGAATGGATCTTATTATTAAGGATGACTAAGAATGAACACTAAGAAAAACAAAATTTCAGAAAAAGTAAAAAGTTAGCATCAACAAAAAAATAATAGCTGAATTGTAAAACGGGTAACTTAATCTGAATTCCCTGACATTTTAAACTATCTAAAGAAGAAAAAAAAAAAAAACCCTGACTTTTCCAGGTTTTCTATGACTTAAGCCAAAATTAACAAAATTTCCAGGTTTTCCAAGTACAGTACAAACCCTACTTTATTTAGTTTTATAATTTTAATTTTGTTATGTATTTTTATATAGTTTATGTTTAGTGAAAGTAAACTTCTTTATAAAAGTAATAAAACAACTGAAAAATTGTTATTCAAGTTCTTGCGTTAAGCTGCTCTCAAGTTCATTAAATGGGCAAATTATTGCTCATATTCAGAAAAGCTGCAGTTTTAAGACAACATTAAAAGAGCAATATAGATACAAAAAAATAATACATAAACCACTTACAAATTTTTCATAGTAAAGTGCTGGGATTTCATTTTGGCATGTATATTTTAATGCCTCAATTGACAAGATAATCTGGTGAACCAAAAATTCAATATCTGGGCGCAGTTTCTGACACTCATTCGTCATGCTTTTTATAATATCTTGAGTTATACCACATTCTATTATATAATAATTAAAATGTAACTTTTTTTTTTACGGATTTATGCTATCAAATCAAATACACTATGCATTTTCTCACATAAATATGTATTATAAATGCAGCGAAATCGTGCTTACCTTATCACTTGAATGATGGCAGTGATGTTTTGCTGAGCAAAGATTAACAGACTCATTCAGCAAGACAGAATTTCGCTTACAACTAGAATTAATTCTAGAGTACTTTATTTTAAACTTTGCAACTTGCTCATCATTTAGAAGAGGACGCCTAACTTGCTTAAATTTTGCCTTCAACAAATGCACAAGAAGTTCCTGACAATAGAATAAAAGAAAAAACTTCTGTAGCTATATAACTTAATAACACCATTGATATTATTAGTTTTAATTATACAGTTAAATACTCACAAAGCCATTGCAGTGACGAGGTTTTAGAGAAGGATACCTTAGGAAAAGCTCATTTGCTATTTCATAGAAGTTACTTGTACTTGGAAATCTATAAAGCATTTATTTTAGTGAAAAGCAATAACATATTTTATTATTATTGACAGCTATGTTAAGAAATATAAAATACCATTATTTTGCCAACTTTGATACTGATAATAAATGTTTACTTTTAAAATTAAAAAATTATACTATTTTAAATTATAATTAACACAGTAATCAAAATACTTACAACCCGTACTGTTGCTTCATGACATCAAAAAGAAAATTCATAACATACTCCTTTAGTTTTGATCTTTTTAGAATACTGAAGTCTATTTCTTTTCTTTCCACAGCAGCAAGGAGAAGAGGGGGCAATGTTAGTTTATCAGACTGAATACTAAAAAATAAATTCAAGACATGAACTATGAAACAACTTTTTATATTATAGAGTCCTAATAGTGTAAAATGCGTGCACACACACAATCTTGGCTAAATATATTGTATCAATTTAATACTTCTTTTTTTTTGTTTAATAATATAACATTTTAAATAAGATAAAATTTAAAAGAAAATAAACAAAGTTGTAAATGTTTACAAACAAACAAAACATAACTTAAAAAGATTCAAAAATTGTTGGTGCCTCGTTATTGTCACAAACAGGTGATAATGTAAAACTTACATTACATGAGTTTAACATAGGTGATGATGACCTTACATATAACATTCTTTGATGCTAATTCTTTCTTAAAAATAACACTGTCTTTAATTGGAGGAATTAGTTCCTTTAACATAAAATCATCTATTTCGTTAATAACTGAACCATCAATATCTTCTCCTGTATAACAATACTATAATATTAAAAAAAAACATGACCTTCTGAATGAATGTTAAACTGTTTAAATTGAAATAAAAGGTTTAAAGAATATGCAAAAATGTTTAAAATATGTTCAACATTACTAAGTATGTATCAAGGTACATTATTATATTTCTGCTATGCTATTATATTTTTATTATAAAATAGAAGAAGAATTGGTAAAATGTGTTATATTGTACCAACTCTTGTACCAAGTTATTTTATAAGAAAATCAAATAAAACAAAATTAATTCAAATCAGTGAAAATCTAAAAAAATGATTTTTTTTGTTGAGTTTTAATCAGTTAAACTAACAACTGAAATATATGCAAATGTAATATTATTTTGTTGCTAAACTACGTAAAGTAACTAAAAGTTGTCCATCAGACATCAAATATCCATCTAAAGGTTTATGTGATACTTCTTGTCCAGAAAGAACAACAACCCAAGAAGATATTTTAATTAGATTATAAGCATGTAAATATATCACATGATTAAAAAAGTTATACTATATCTATTAATTATAGTTACAGTAATGGTATTATTATTATTAAATATGCATAATTAGTAGTAATAATATTGCTACTACTTTTTTAAAATTATATATAAATATAATTTTAAAACAGTAGTTTTTTAGATAGATCGTTAAGCTATAATTTTATATAAAATTATAGCTTAACGATCATTATAAATCATTAAATCAAAAAGATCATTATAACGATCAATATAAAACGATATATTGCTATTAGCAATATATGGTATATATTGCTTATAACAATATATTTAATATATAAAATTATTGCTTATTGCTAAGCCTTAGGATTACTAAGGCTTAGCAATAAGCAATAATTTTAAATATCAAATTCATATATTCAAAGTTATTGCTTAGCATTACTAATAGTAATGCTAAGCAATAACTTTGAAAATAAAAACATTAGAGAAATATTTTAAATAGAAATAACAAATACTAACAGGTAAAAAGATATTTGATGCCATTAGTTTAATAAAATAATTAAACGACTTCTTGGAAAGTAAAATTTTAAATAGATAACAGCAATTCCAATTTTTCAAGTAAAGAATAAATGACAGAAGTTAAATAGCGCGCTTGTTTAAAACTAATATGGAAGCTGTAAGTAAACAACCAATCAAATTTAAAGATAATAGATGAATATTTGGAAAACCAAAATAAATTAAAATCACGCGTTAATTTTCTAAGAAACCAAATATGAATCGTTGGAAAACCAATTTATTTTTGTTTCTCTTGCAAAAAACCAAATCATTTTTTGGATACGCCATAAAACCTTTGGGTTTTCTGTGAAACCTATTGATTTTCTAGATAATCAATGAAAAACCAATTTTCGTAAGAGTGTAGAAGCACTTAAAAAATTTGTAAAGAGCTGTAAACTTAATCATGAACGGTGTAATGAAAAAAGAAAACTGTTAGCTGCAAAGGTCAGTTTAAAAATTGAAGGTATTACTTCATTAATAAATCTGAAAAAAAGAATTTTTGGCAATTGGAATTACTGTTTCAGAAACAAATCAAATTTCAGGATATGATTCCTTTTTCCAATCATTTCATAAACTTTACAAAGAAAATCCTAAACAAAATGGAACTCTAATTCATGCAATGCAGTCTTGTCTAATTTCAAAAGCAAGTGGTAAGACGAATAAAAAATTTCAAATTGTGATGCTAGATTTTTTTAATGCTTCAAACATTTGGTAAATGTGTTTATAGATTTGTTGCTGCGAATCTCCCTAGTGTTTCCTTGAGACATATACAACGCATCACTGACGCGTTGTATATGTCTCAAGGAAAAAAAACTTTGACTAAAAAATTTAGTTCTCTTTCAGATTTAAAGAGCTTCTATACTTCTTTTATAGAAAATAAAAGTAGTCTGATAAAAGTAAACATTAATCCCAACTTAGATAAAGCTTTAAATGCTGATAATGGCTATGACACTGATGTTCAAGAAAAATTAATAGAAATAATTAATAATAGTTTACAAGAAGCAATTTTAGAAATTGAAGTAATTCATAATGAACCAGAGATAAACAATGTCGATTTGGTGTTGGTAAGAAAAGTTGTGAAGTTCTTGTTGATAAAAAAGGCTTAGTTTTGATACATTCTACTTTAGCAGAATATGGAGCCTTAACCAGTAGCAATAGGCTACCATATCAAAATGTCGAAAACGAAGAGATAAAGGACAATCAAAAAAAGTATTTTATGAAAATTGATTGCTATGAAATAACTGAATGACTTGTTGATGATTAAACTCTTATTAGAATTAACTTTTGAAGTTTCCTTTTGGTTTAATTTAAACTCTTTTTGGTACTCCATTTATAATTTTGCATTGTTTTGTGTATATATTTATTTCATAACTATGTATCAAAGATAAATTGTTTTTTTTTTTAGAATGTTAAGTGGAAAGATATATTATATATATATATATATATATATATATATATATATATATATATATATATATATATATATATATATATATATATATATATATATATATATATATATATATATATATATATATATATATATATATATATATATATATATATATATATATATATATATATATATATATATATATATATATATATATATATATATTATGGTTAGAATTCAATAAACACGGCTGCGTATAAACTTTTTTTAAATATATATATATTTTTTCTTTAATATATAATTATTTCGATATTTCGCTGATCTATTGTGATCAGCGTCATCAAGTATAATAAACAAAATAGTTACAAAATCGTTATAATAAAAACAAACCGTTAAAAAGATAACATTAAAAAGCCATAATATAATACAGAAAAAAACTTTTCAAACAACTGACGTCAGCAGATTTTATTAAAAAATGGCCTTCAGGAATTTGTTGTTACATTATCACCGTCATCCCGATTGAGAACCACGTCACCATTTCTCAACTCCTGTTGAACCCTAGCCTTGCTTATTTCGAGTGACTCTCTGATTTTCCGAGTTCGATTTTCTGGGATAATGCTCCCAGATAATGTTTTGGGGTGCAACCAATCAAACTTACCAAGGCATGTTTTAGAATGCTCAGTTGCACCCGAACTGGACCATTTTCCTTTTAAGCTGTTTTTTTGGTGTTCAATACATCTCGGTATCACCTTCTTTTTAGTTTCGCCAATGTATATCGAACCGCATGAACATTTTAGCTGGTATACGCCAGGGTCTGTGTTTAGTGGTAGTTTAGTTTTATTGTTGCAGAAAATATTTTTTAAATTGGGAGTTGATGTGAAAATAACCTTTATGTTTTGCTTTCGAAATTCTTTACGAAGTTTTGGACCAACAATTGGTATCCAAGGTAGTTTTATAAAGGGTTGGGTATCTATTTGTTGAAATGTGGTGTTTTTTGAACCGTTTTTTAAATAGTCTATAGTAATATTATTTAGAATGTTCTTGTCGTGGCCATTATCAACAAAGATGTCTATTAGAAAATCGATTTCTTTTTGAAGGTGTTTTTGAGAGCTTATTCTTTTAGCACGACATAAAAATCCTTTGAAAACGCCAATAATAATGTTAGGATTAATGTTCGAGTTAGGTTTAAGTTGAACATTTGTAATAGCTTCTTTTCTATGTATTTAAAATTCATAAGTTCCAGAGCCTGTGTTTGTATTGTTAATATCTAGGAAATTGAGTTGTTTGAGGTCGTTTTCAAGTTCCACTGTGTATTTTATGGCAGGATGTTGTTCATTAATGATGTTCAGGAACATTTGTTGTTGTTTTATTGAAGCAAAGCGAGCATGACAATCATCTACATATCTCTTGTAAGTTTTTGGTTCGGATGTATGAATAATTGCTATGTTAAGGGCTTTTCTTTCTATATATTTTGTAAAAACGCTTCCGCCATAACAACCATTTAAGATAAACCTATAGGACCTGAATTAGGTATTATTCGGATATTGTTTTCGTATAAAAAATAGCATATACTTAATGAAAGTTCAATTAATTGATGTATGTCTGCAAGAGTAAGTTTAGTTCGAGTTTTTAAGTCATAAATGTCAGCGTTCAATATATCAATAATAACCGGAATTGCTTTGTCAATGGGTATGGATGGATATAAATTGACTATATTAAATGAAACTTGAACTTCATTAGGATCTATTATCCATTGCTTAGCTTCATTTACAAAACTATTAGAATTCATAAGTCTACTTTTATTTTTGTTCAGAGTCGGTTGAACAATTTATAAAAATCACAATGAACAAAAAAAACTATTTTGTATTGGAGACATTAACATTAATTGCTTACAATACGATAAACATGCCAAAACTAATTTTTTTTTGACGAAATGCTCCAACATTACATCTTCCCAATTATTAATAAGCCGACTCGTGTAACTCAATCATCAGTAACGTCAATAGACAATATATTAATAAATACAGTTCTTGATGTTACTTTAAAAGCAGGTATTATAAAAACAGATATATCGGATCATTTTCCGATTTTCTTTTCTCTGTCACACGATACAAAAACTACTAACGACTGTAAAATCGAAATTCATAAAAGGAAAATTAACAAATATGTTATTCAACAATTTAAAGAATCACTATCGGCAATAAACTGGGATAAAGCATACCAAGAATGTAACCTTGGACGCACCAACTCTGCTTATACTAGTTTTGAAAACATTTTCTTAAAAAACTATAATAAATATTTTCCAATAAAAGTAATGCTAGTAAAAGGAAAAAAAATCTAAAATGTCCGTGGATCACCAAAGGAATTAAAAAATCTTCCAAAAAAAAAAAAAAACTTTATATCAAATACTTAAAAAATAGAAATGAAGCTAACCTAAATGCTTACAAACAATATAAAAATTTGTTTGAAAAAATCAAAAAGATTTCAAAAAAGAATTATTACTAAAATAAAATAAAAAACTCCAAAGGTGATATTAAAAAAACGTGGGTCGTAATTAAAGAAATAATTATGAACAAAAATTGCAAACCAAATAATTTACCTACTAAAGTTGTTATAAATAATGAAGAGTATGTCAGTAGTGACGTAATCTCAAAAAAGCTTAACAATTTTTTCGTTAACATAGCCCCTAACCTGGCTACAAAAATTAATTGTCCAAACAACTCATTTGAGACATACTTAATTAATAACAACAACGAATTAGCATTTAGCAAACTAATAATTGATTATCACAATATCTTACTGGATATGGTGTTACTAAGATATGGTGTTAAAAATATATCCCTTGACTGGTTCAAAAGTTACCTGAGTAGCAGAAAACAATGCGTTGATACAGATCATAATAAATTTTCAGACCTACTAGAAATAAAATGGAGTTCCCCAAGGTTCCATCCTTGGTCTCCTTTTATTTCTAATATATATCAACGATCTTCCAAAAGCCCTAAAAAAACTTGATGTAATGATGTTCGCTGATGATACAAATTTATTTTACTCATCGCTGTTTATAAGCGACCTTTACGAATCTATGAACACTGACCTCGAAAACCTCAACATCTGGTTTAAAGTAAATAAATTATCTTTGAATACAGAAAAAACAAAATATATAAGTCTTAAAAACTTTATACCAGGCACTCTACTAAAAATTGATAACATAAACATCAAAAAAAATTGAAATAACTCAGTTTCTTGGAATAATTATTGACCAGAATATTAATTGGAAAGCCCATATTAATACAATAAACACAAAAATATCAAAAAGTATCGGCGTACTCTACAAAGCCAAACCTATGCTTTCCCAAGACAACTTAAAAATTCTCTTCTTTTCTTATATTCAAAGTTACCTAACATACGCTAATATTGCATGGGGAAGTAAAACCATAAAACTAAATTAAATTCACTCTACATACATCAGAAACATGCATTAAGATTAATTTATAATAAAGATAAATTCACTCATGCCGACCCTTTACTTAAAAATTTGAATGCATTAAATATCTATCAAATAAATATTTACCAAATTATCTTATTCATGCTAAAATACAAACTTGGACTTGTTCCGAAATACTTTACTGATACCTTTTTTCATATCAACGTAAACAAATATATCACACAAGGAACAGGCAACTTCACCTTGCCTTTAAAAAAAACAAAATTCTCGCGATTTTTCTTTATATACCGTGGCCCATACTTACATAACAAAATAATACTTCAAAATATGGAACTTATTAAAATGAATAACCTTATTGCTCTGAAAAAAAAACTTAAACATATCATAATTAACTTAACCAACTTCATCGAAATGTATTAAACAATTTGGGAAAAATAGTAATAATAAAAAGCCCTACTACTTCTACTATATAGTAGATACCAAAATACTTATGTGTATTTGTTGAACTAGTTCATTAAAGTTTATCTTATGTTTTAAAGGTTCTCGATGAAAAGACTATTTTAGTCTTCTGTGAGTTTCCTTACAACAAAGAAAAATATTTTTTAAGAATAATTTTATATATATATATATATTCAACAACGTCCACAAGCAAGTCCCTAGTAGCCCTGTGGTACGACGGACTTGCATATATTTTTTAAATGCATGGGTTAATAGCCAGCACTTTATATTATAAACAACGAATAGTTACCTTATTTTGTACAGTGTACAACGCGCATGCGCTGAACAGAATTTTGAATTTCTTATGTCTTGTAAAAATTTTAATGGTAAAAAAATTGTTTAATTGTACGTTTTGTACTTATATGTAAAAATATGTTTGTTTTATTGAAATATATACGGATACTTGTGTTGTAAAAAAAAAAAAAAAAAAAATTTTAACAAGATAATCAGATATTTTTTTCGGCAGTGGTACAAAATTTGGACCTAAATTGAGTAGCTCAGTTGTTGATTTATCCAGAGTAACATTAGTTAAATTAAGTATAGCAGGTTTAATAACTTGATTGAGAGGATTAAAAGTATTTTTTATAATCGGTGTAATTTGTAATTTATGATATTTTTCTTTCATTTCCGTTTTTTTCTTAATGGATTTCTAAATTTTTCTTAAATTTTATTAAAAAATGGTTCCCAGGTTTTATGTAGCTATGTTAGGGAATCTTGGTTGGCCCAAGACAGGTTTTCCGTAAAATTCGCCAAAAACAGAAAAGTCATCCTAAATCATTTAAAATATTTTAACATTGTTTATTTTTATTTCGCTTAAGTTACTTTATGGAGTTAATATCTTTGTAATACTATTTATTTCAAGAAAAAATATCCAATATTCGTCTATCAAAGTCGTTTACAAAAACTAAAACAACGAAAAAGTGCTTATAATTAATTAAACAAAACCGCCATTTTGTTCATTTGTCCCCTATTAAAAGTCATATACTAAACCCGCACGCTGTGAAAGTCCCTAATTAGTCACACGGTAACAAGACAATAATTATCACAATTTTTTAGTTATAAGGATTATTATCGTTTAGCTTTTCAATTAGTTGTTTTTTTCTTTAGGTATAATTGAGCTATTTTATTTATTATATTATTATATGATTGAGCTTATTAATCATATATCTAATCTCAGAACGACGAATCTTACAAATCTTAATAAGATTTCTTATTTAGAAGCTTAGTAAGATTAGATGAGTAAGATTAGATAACCGAAAACCTTTGTAACTTTATACTAAAAAATATATAATGAAAGCGATCTTGAAAAGAAAAAGTATTACTTGATAAGAGATTTTAACATAAACTCATTCGAATATTATGAAAATTAAAATACTAGAAAATTTTTTTACGATCTGTTCGAAACTGGAACAATACCATTAATTAATCGACCGACCCGAATCACAAACCATTCATCATCATTAATTGACAACATCTTTACTACTGACTTTTTTTATAAGTCGCTTAAAAAGGGTAAAATAAAAACAGATCTTTCCGATTATTTCCCAATATTTTTCTCATTAGAATTAAACGTAAAAAAAGAGAACCATGTAAAACTCTCAATAAAAAAACGGCTTTTCAATATTAATAATTTGAATTCCTTTAGAGAGCAATTATCACTTATAAACTTGGACTTCATCAATTTTAATGATGATGTTAACATAATCTATGATCAATTTTTCAAAACCTTTTATGATTCAAATTTTCCTCTACGTGAAAAAAGTCTTAAAAGCCAAAGAGATATCATTTCCTTGGATTACAAAGGGTCTCATAAAATCCTCAAAAATTAAACAGAAGTTATATGTTAAATACATAAAATCAAAATCAGAAAAACACAAACAAAATTATTTAAATTATAAAAACATATTTGAAAAGCTTCGTAAAAATTCAAAAAAAAATTACAACTCAAATTTGCTAAATAAATACAAACATAACTCAAAAAGGGTCTGGCAAGTCATGAAAGAGGTGACTGGAAAACATAAAACAAATACAAATTCACTACCAGATATAATAAAAATTGAAAACAAGTTATTTAATGATCCAAACAAAATTGCGTTCGAATTAAACAAATTTTTTACAACAATCGGAACAAAATTGTGCAATAATATTCCATACATTAAAGAAAAAGCTAATAATGAATATGAAACTCTATTAAACTTAACTCTAAATAATACTGAGTTAACTTTTGATGAATTTGAAGTTGCTTTTAAATCATTAAAACAAAATAAAGCAACTGGATGAAAAAAATGGATACGATGAAATTAACGTAAATATTGTAATAGACTCTTACGATATTATAAAAAATATTCTTTTTAAAACCATCAGAGTATCCATCACACAAAGGTCCTTTCCAGATAAACTGAAAATAGCGAAAATAACTCCAATCTTCAAGACCGGCGATCGTACAAATATAACAAATTATCGCCCTATCTCGGTTCTTCCAGTTTTTTCAAAATATTAGAAAAAATAATGTTTCATCGAGTTTACTCTAATCTTATTGAAAATAAAATACTGCATGAAAACCAATTTGGCTTTAAAAAAAATAATTCAACCAAACATGCTGTTCTTCAACTTACGCGCAACATTGCAGATTCATTCAAAGACTCTCGTTTTACATTAGGGTTTTTTATTGACTTGTCGAAAGCATTTGATACGGTGAATCACCAAATCCTATTAAGATTAGATTAGTAAAATTAGATAAGCAAGACGTGCAAGAAAACTAATAAGATCTTATTAAGATTTTTTTTTTGATTCACCTCTCCAAGGCCGAGAAGACCACTACAGACGAGGAGGCTACTTAATTGTGGTTATAACCCCTTCTCAATTCTATAACTCCAAAACACGAACCTTGTCGAACAAGGTCGCTGCGCGGAGAAACAAGTTGAGGGTCAGTGTTTGTTAACCTACGATTTCTTTGTAAGATTTATAAGAAATGTAAGATCTTAATAAGATATGTAAATTATATCATAATCTCTTAGTAAGATTTTACAAGTTGATACGCATTCTAAGTAAGATTTGTAAGATCTTATAAGATTATTTTGTAATTATTCCGACCCTACTAAATATTCCACTCATATTTTTGCGTAGAGGTAGAATATTCTATCGCGAAAATATGAGTGGAATTTAGTAGGGTTGGAATAGCTACAAAATAATCTTATAAGATCTTTTGAACGTATGGTCATATAAGATCGTATGGAACATTTAGTTATTTTTTTCTTTTCTTTTTTACTTTAATTAATTTTTTCTCGAAATAAATTTATAGGGGAAGTGGAGGCATAACCGCCCCCGTAAAGTTTGGAATAATGTTAGATGAAGATAAAAACGAAATGTGTTTTTTTACTGGTTTATTTTAATAACCTCATCATTAAGCTTTAAACTGATGCAATTAAGAAAAAAATTGAACGGTTTTTGAAAATGTTATTTCATAAAAAGTACAATTAGTGAAAAAAACGGTTTTGCCCCCATTGTGAGGCACAACCGCACCCTCACAAAAATCGTTGGGGGTACACCTTTCATGGTACATTTTCTTTACAATTTTCACAGCTCAGATTATTTGATGACTTTGTTGCATGTTTGCATAATTTGCAGGCGTTCTTTATATTTACATTTTGAGTTCTGCTCCAGAAGAGAGTTTTTAGAAAGAATTCAGTTTCATAGCTTGCTTATTAGATTATGCCATGGCCTACTTGAATTACTGAATTAATTTAAGTAAGCCATGATTATGCTGATATCAAAAATGGTTTTCACTTGATGAAATAATGCTGATAACACATGTCTTTAACACTAAAATCAAATATTGCTTAATTCTCAAAAAAAGATCTGGAAAAATATGATGTAAATATAAAATTTTTATCAAAATAAACATTATTATGCACAATTTCACAGAATCGTAACAAGCACACTTTTTGACATATGCAAAATGAAGGAAACTGTTTTACTAACGCGTGGTATATTTTTCTAAGGTAATAAATTTCTAAGGGAAATCTTAAAAAACGGTGGTGCCTCCTTATGCGGTTATGCCCCTACTTCCCCTATTTAAAAATATAACAGTGCTCATCTTAACAGTATATGTAATACATATAATATATAATACAATAAATTACTTAAGTAAGATTTCCATACTGCAACAATAATTGAAAATTATAAAAAAATGAGGTATTACTGATAAGATAGAATAATACTCATAAAAATTTGATAGACTAAATTTCTGTTGTTTACAAATTAAATAAAAATACAAATAAAAGTTAACTTAAATTACATTGATGCTCAGCAAGTGATAAAACTAATCAATGTAAAACTGCGCACAGTTTAACTGTTTAAATATTTCTATTTTATGTCAAGTTCCATTTGATTGATCTCGTTTACAATTGTGTCAACAAAGTATTTTACAACGGTTTCTTTAATTTTTCTAGTACTACACAAAATTGTTTGGGGTATCTTTCTTTTCGGGTATCTTTTTTTTGGGGTATCTTTCTTTTGGGATATCTTTCTTTTGGGGTATCTTTCTTTTGAGGTATCTTTCTTTAGCGTTTTTACCAAAATAATTTATTTTTGAATTGACATAGTTAGAGTAAAATTTAAATTTAAACTTTAGATTTTCTGCACTGAGATATTTTATGGAAAATTAATATTGTTTTATGACAATTCGTAACCAACAATGATGCATAGATGAACACCTTCCTAAATCTATAATTTAAGAAAAAAAAATGATTTTCTTTATTTTTATTCAACTGTTATTAATACTAACTGGCAAAAAACAACCTGTAATACGGGTTATGGTAGGTCTGTTACGTAACTAATTTATAGTGGCTGTTTTCCACAATTTAATGTTGCAAAACCGTAACTAATATCCTTTTAGAAAAACGTCTTCAACTTGAAAAAATTAATTCATCTAAAATTAACATAAAAAAGTATCAAGAAGTAAAATAATTTACCAACTACTACTTAACATTTACAATTACTACTTAATATTATTTGAGTAATTTACAACTGACATAGGTCATAACAGTGTAAGGCAAAACCATTTTCCTTAACATTCCTAAGTTCGACTCAATACGTTTTTCATTACTGACACAAAATAATAACACTTCATCATGCTTTAAATTGACGAAAGCATCAACTAAATCCTTGTAAATAATTTTTATAACATGAACTTTAATTAACTTTTAGGATTAAGATGGATTAAGTTAACTTATATTATACAGGAACTACTAAGCAGCTGAGTACAAATACGTTTCAAACAAAAAAAAATTAAATTTACAATCAAACACGTGTATAAGAAATTTAAAAAAATATGAAAACTTTGATCTTTTATATTGCATTAATGCGTCATATGACAAACCTAAAATAAAAATTGTAACAGATAAGTAGACATAAAAATTTGTAAACCAAGCTGACCGAACCCGGGTTTTGTTAAGTCTGCTCAACACAGACCATTTCTATATTATTTGTTTGGCCTCTTTATTTCATTAATTTTTAGTAAACGGTATTTTGATACCATTTACTAAAAATTCTTTTTGTTACTCGAAATTTAATTTTCCTAAATATTTTGACACTAATAAAGAGGTTCCTCCCCTCTTCTTGCTTTAATGGTGGCCTGGTGAGTAGAGTTTTTTTTATTAAGAGTAATCAAGTTTTTGATTATTTAATTAGTTAAACATGTAAATAAAACATAAGTAAATTGATATTTGACAAATGTGCTAAACTACAGTATTCTCCATGTTTTTAAAGGTTTTTAGTTAAGACCCCTCGTTTACAAAGATACGTTAAGATACGTTCAACAAATTATTAGGTATAAAATATTTAAAAAAATTGAACTAATTGCATATATTTTTATCTTTTTAACTAACAAAAATTTACAATAAAAGGAAATCATGCGTCATAACGCAATGCTAAAATAAAAAGTAATGGAATTATGATATCATAATTAAAAAAAAAAAAAAAAACACATAAAAATTGAAAGTCGATTTACCTATTTATAGTTACTTATTTTGAAATTGCAGTTAATGTAAACATTTATCGAAAATGTAACAATAAAATCTGTTTTGAAGTACAAAAGGATTTACAATACTAAAAAAAAAATCAAACTAAGATATAAATTGCACTTTTAGCAAAATGCTGTCTTGGTTTTTAGTAAATAAATAAAAGCAGTAAGTTCCAATAATGAAACTACCTATTATTCATTTTTAACAATAGACGCCAATGGGAAGGTAAGCCAAGCTGTCTATTAACACAAAACATCACAACAATAACATTACAACAATAACACATAACAATAAAATCCAGTGAAAATAACAAACTAAATTAAAATATGAAATACAAAATTAAAAACCAATTTAGAGTTAACTATATTTATCTTTTTACTAAACTTTAATAAAGTATATTTGTTTTTATATTCAATATTAGTTATTTAATTATTTCAAATTTAGGACATTAAAGTATGCAAGATTTAAAGATTAAGATTGCATACTCTCTCATACACATTACGCTAAACATTAACAGACATTATGTGTTTGCAGAATAATTTAAAAAGACTAGACAACACAACCTAGGTAAAAAACTAGACAACACAACCTAGGTAGGTTGCCTGGCAAGGTTATAAAACTTGCTCAACATGTAATACCAAGTCGCACCACTTTGAAAACATGGAAACAACATAATTTAAACATTTATACAACTATAAACAGATATGACTATATAACACATAAACACATTTTATAACAATATTAAATGAAAGATAATAATAATAATAAATAAAGTTACACATACAAAATGTGCTCACAACCTTTAATAGTAAGTAAAAGACTATAAATTAAGAACATTAGAAAGTATAATTTTTTTGTGTAACACTTTTCATCTACCATACCTTGAATAGGATGTTTATCAATTTTGGAAAACAAACTATTAAATGCTCTAGTTCTTGAACATGCAAAATGTAGTTGACTATGAGAGAAACACGGTTTTTGAAATGTCTTTTGTCTATAAGTTTAATTTCACGTTATGTAATATATGGACGATTCCTAAAGTAAAATACTTGAAACTAAAAAGATTTTATTTATTACAATATTTAAACAAGCAAGGGACAAATATAGTTAAACAATTTAAAGAATTATATCTTTAAATAGCAAGCAACTCGTAAAATATATCTTATAAATGGTCATTATCAATTGTAGTATTAAAAAATGCGCAAGAGCTCAGTAATTATATGAGTTTTATCAATTCTCCCTGCGCTAACTCTCATGTAAGAGAGAGAGAGAGAGAGAGAGAAGAAGTGTTTCAAAAGCAGCATGTTAAAAAAAGTAAAAAAAAACATGCAATAAATAATAGTAACTGGTTTTATTATGCTACCAATAAACAAAATTATTTTTACCTGAACTAAAAGTTAATTTCCAGCATTGCCTAATTAAGATTCAGCTTCGCTTTAACTGTTGACTAATGATTAATATAGTAAATTTCACATCATATCAAATTTGCAAAATTAAAACCATTTTCAACAGTAAGCAAAATAATCAAGTGATGACAAAGGCAACTAAAAAAAAAGAACAAAATTATGTTTGAGATTACAAAAAAAAAAAAAAAAAAAAAAAAAAAATTAAAATCATTTAAATTTGTAACTGTTATTAATTAATTAATTGTAGTAAAATTCATGCTTTGCTTTATTCTAAAGTGTCTAATGTAAAATCAAATTAATAGACATCAACACCGCTTGACACTGAATTCTGGCAAGTAAGTTTTCTGTTCATCGAGCAGAACTTCTTACATTGCAACGACAATTAATTTTATCATCCCCAGATCTATCTCTTTCATTTGACAACAATTTTTTTCAAATCGCCTATTACCATTTACACTAAAAACCTCTTCGAACCTAATATTATACATCTGTTATCATTAAACATATAACCAGTGATTATACTACTGTTACAAATGAATAAATTAACACAAAATAATTTTAGAAATTGTGATCTTTTCTAATCAAAGATTATATTTTAAATAAGGATTTATTGATATTCAATACTTTTAAAAGTTTATATAAAGAAGTTGTTCATTAAAAATATAAAACAAAATTTATTTATAGTATTTTTAATTAAACAAAGAATTTAGACTACAATGCAGTTATTTTTACCTTCAGGCACAATCTTAATGCACAAAAATAATAAACGCAGAACCTTGTATAAAAAAAGAAGCAATGTATATATATATATGTGTATGTGTATGTGTACAATGTATATAAGTACAATGTATATGTGTACAGTGTGTATGTGTACAATGTATATATATTCAAATTTTTTCTACTCTTTTTCTTTTTTCTTTGAAATAATATTTATATAGATACAGAGAAATATAAAATATACTGAAATATAGGCACATTTATGTATATAAACTTACCTGTCAACAAATTACAGTTACATACATAAAATTTTATTCTCATTATTCTTTCTACAAAAAAAAAAATTTTAACCTATAAATAAGAAAATGAATTAAACTTACTAAAAAAGCCATCAGCTCCTCATAATTGCTCTAAAAAATAAAACAATATTTACTTAAAATGTTCTAAAAAGACTAACGACAAAACTGAAACAGTTATCTTTAAAAAGAAACATTGTACTAAAAAAATATTTTACCAGTCATTATAGTTCTAACTTCTTCTAAAAAATGAAACAGGCTATAAAAATTAGAAAAATAAAAACAACCAACAACAAACAAAAGATTATTGAAATTTTTATTTTAAACAATGAACAAATCAGTTCTTCTTTAAAATAAAAATATATTAGCTCTAATTTGCTTGCTAACTTTACTAGAAAGACTGCGTGGAATATATAACTGCGCTTAGAAAAGTCTAGAAACAATTTAAAAACTAAGAAATAGTGTATTTTACAGAATACAGAACCGTAATTAACAAAACAAACAATAGGCGTAACAATGCGTAACTATGCGCACTAATAATAATAGTAATATTCACCGCGCTATTTATATTTAGATGTTGTTATTAATACTGACTCAGTAGCAGATTAAGACTTCTTAGGGTCCGGAGCTATTTTTGTTTTTGGAGGCCTTTTTATGGGCCAGAGCCTAAAAATGACTTCTTTAAAAAAAGTCCTCTAAAATTTTTTGGGGCCCGGGGCTATAGCTCCCCTAAGGGCAATGTACTTTTTCTTATAAAACTAAAATTTAATATAAAAAGTAAATGTTAATCTTATTAGAAAAGCATATATTACATAATTAGAAAAGCATATACTACATAATTAGAAAAGCATATATTACATAATTAGAAAAGCATATATTACATAATTAGAAAAGCATATATTATATAATTAGAAAATTACATATTATTCTAAAATATTAAAAATAACTATTTTAAATCTTACACTTTTTTTTCCATCTTGTTTTTGTTAGCTTCTCTGAAAATTTTGCCATAATTATATTATTTTGCCACAATTAACCAAAACTTTGTATTTTTGGTTTCACAACTATTACAAAGTTTTGGTTCTGTGTTCATTGTGCTTGTCATATTCTGAAAACATATCAAATTTAACTGAAAATTGTATTATATTAAAGCAAGTATATTACATACTTACAAGGACAGATTTGGGTTTAAAAAAAAAGTTACAGTTTTAATATTATTAAATCACTAGAAATTAAGATTTGTGCAAAACATAAAGAAGTAATATCTTATCTTATTTTACACTCCATAATAAACAGTTTCAGAAGAACTGTTTGTGTCGTCCAATGCCTCTAAGTTATTAGTGGTTTGTTGCAGCTGCTTATCACCATTTGCTTCTACATATATATTTAATATCATTCAAATTTAGCTCAATATTTCTGAATAATAACTCAAATAATTAATAACAAATAATTTTAATATTTAAAACAAAAACTACATTCATATTACTTTATGCATCATTTGAATTCTTTTTTGTTGATCTAGAAAAATTTACTTATAGCATACTACAAAAACACATATACAAAAATATATAACATTTTCTCATATAGATTATCAACTAAAATTTTTTCAAAATAATTTCAAACATCAACTTATTGTCACACACACATATATATATATATATATATATATATATATATATATATATATATATATATATATATATATATATATATATATATATATATATATATATATATATATATATATATATATATATATATATAGATAGATATAGATAGATATAGATATACATAAGATGTAAATATTTTAAAGTAATATGAATGTAGTTTTGTTTTAAATATTAAAATTATTTGTTATTAATTATTTGAGTTATTATTGAGTTATATATAATATATAATTATTGAGTTCCGACTACACTATAAGGATATATATATATATATATATATATATATATATATATATATATATATATATATATATATATATATATATATATATATATATATATATCCTTATAGTGTAGTCGAAAGAATCTTTTAATGTAAAAAAAAGTCTCTTTTGACTACAATTTTAATTACCTTGTCTCTTAAGCTGTTTTTGATTGTCGTCGAAATGTCAAAGCAATTAAATTAATGCGGAAGTACATTAAATTTTATTGAAAAATTTTAAAAAACCGCAATAACAACGACTAGAAAGTTTTTTTTAATTAGTGGTGTTTTTGTTTATGTTTTATTAAAAAACATTTTTAAAACATGCGTAAATGTTGCTACATCAACTATCTTATAGCCTGCTGCTACAAGGGAGTATTTCTACATCGACTATCTTATAGCCTGACTCGCAACAGAGTGCTGCTACATCGACTGACAAATAGCCTGACTCGCAAGGGAGTGCTGCTACATCAACTGACAAATACCCTGACTCGCAAGGGAGTGCTACTACAACGACTGACAAATAGCCTGACTCGCAAGGGAGTGCTGCTACATCGACTGAGGGTTTGATTTGGGCAGGCATTCTATCATTTAAAAAAAAAAAAATTTAAGTTTATAAACTTTTTCAGGTCTGGTTTATTAACGCGCTCTTTAAAACTACAGTTTATGGGAAACTCTTTCTGACTACCATGCAAGAGTATATATATATATATATATATATATATATATATATATATATATATATATATATATATATATATATATATATATATATATATATATATATATATATATATATATATATATATATATATATATATGTTCATGTAGAGGTAATATATATGTATAATATTACCTCCACATGAATATCAAAAAATATTCTTCATAAAATTTTCATCTTAAAAACACATCATAACATAAAATTTGCATTAAAAATAATAGTATTAATAGTAATAGTATATATTAATAGTAATAATAGTATCTATTTTTAAAGTTATAATTAATTATAACTTTATAATATAAAGCATAATTATAACTTTATAATACATAAGTAAATAAAAATAAATAATATAAATTATAAATAAATAAATAAAAAGTAAATATATTAAATAAATAAATTAAATTGATTATGTTTATTTTAATTCAATTTTTATTTTATGATATAAGTTTATGATTTATTATTAATACATCATAAACTTACATTATAAAATGAAAATTGAAAATACATCATAAACTTATATCATAAAATGAAAATTATTAATATATCATAAACTTACTTTATAAAATGAAAATTGAATTAAAATAAACAAAATCAATTTAATTTATTTATTGAATATATTTACTTTTTATTTATTTATTAATAATTTATATTATTTTTATTCACTTATGTATTATGAAGTTATAATTATACTATATATATTATAAATAATTATAACTTTAAAATTAGAAAAATTGATTATTAATAAAGATACAGATATTGTTTTGGTTTTTTCTATTTAAACTCAGTAAAATCTTTTTTAAAAAAGTACATATATTTCTAGACTAGATATAATATTCTTCTTTGCAAATATTTAAAAAAAATCACAAATATAAAAAACTCTGTTTTTAATTAATAAGTAATCCTTTTAGTTAAATCCATTGTTGAATGGATAATTTGTGATATCATTGTATGTTTATATTGTATGTACGTTTATAAATTTAGCAATAAAAAATAAGCGACATAAATTTCGTATAAAAGTTATCTATACTTTATTTTAAGCAGTTTGGCAGTTAATTTACTCAAAAACGTTGTATAGATTTCAAATTTTAAAGTCGAAAAAAGAATTAAGATAAATATTTACGTATTTATGCTGTTGTTTTAACAATTTCTAACACAACAGGTTTTTAGCATTTTTATTATCAATTCTTAACAACTTCTTGGTTCTTTTATATTAACTTCTTTGTGTCATCTTTTAACTCTTTTATAATCACTTCTTCACGTGATACAATCTTTCTTAACACTTTTATAACCACAAGTTTACGTGATACAATCTTTCTAGCTCTCGTACAGCTGCTGTACGAGAGCTAGAAAGATTGTATTACGCCAATCTTGCCACTTTCTCGCAAAACAAAATCCCATTGCAAATCAATTTTTAATTCCAAAAAAAATAACTATGCCGTAATAATGCCGTAATAGTACATATTTCTTCACTAGAATAATTTTTAAAAGTTAACATCTTAGATAAGTTTTTATATCATTTAATTAAGTTAAAACATCTGTTATAGTAAGTAAACTTATCCTTATATAATTCTTTATAATAAAATACAATATTTCTAGGGGTTATATATACCCTCGTTATTCAAGTAATATAAAAAAACAACTATTTATTTATTTGTTGTTGTTTTTTTAACGGTTTTTTTATATTACTTGAATAACGAGGGTATATATAACCCTCGTTATTTAAGTAATATAAAAAAACCGTTAAAAAAACAACAACAAATAAATAAATAGTTGTTTTTTTATATTACTTGAATAACGAGGGTATATATAACCCCTAGAAATATTGTATTTTATTATAAAGAAATATTCACTAGAATAAAAGTTATTTCATTTTTTTGGCACCTCTTCATAATGATTTCCTTAAAACATTCTTAATTATCAAAAATTCTTTAAGGAATTTCTTTTATTTTTTGCAATGTTATCAGCTCCACGGCGTTAACTTTAGTTCAAAAATCTCCCGATTGCCAGTTTGCGCGTGTTTTCACACTTACTGTCATAGTAAGTAGAAACCATGTAAAAAATAACAGTAAAATTTTAAAAGACCAATCAATATCAAAAGATTTTGAATTTGGTTTCTATCGGTACAGACATTTTGCGCTAAACTTATAAGAAAACAAAGCGTATGTTTATGTACCTCATCCTACCATTTTTTAAATTATATCTTGAGGCTATACTTTCACATTGATAACATAATATCAAATTGATATTTGCAGAAAAAATATTACAAACACTGGACACTCCAATTATAATTGTACTTCTGAATAAAAATTAATTATTAAAAATTTAAGAATCTATATGTAAAATAATTTTTTAAACTTAAAATTTTGTATAATACCAAAATTTAAATCCAAAAATCTCGAAAAATAATTTAAAGAAATTATGAAATACAAGTAATCTGATTAGTAAATAAAATAAAGGGAAAATTCTTCAAAGAAAATGCTGCTATAAAAACTAATTTAATTGGTTTGTAGTTGAAGGTTCTTTTGATTTTATTGCAAGAAAGTAAGACGTCAGGTACAGCCTACCAATACCTAAAAAACAAAAATAAAATTTTACTGCTGTCCTATCAATTTATCATACATGTTCTATTTTCATCCAATTTGTAAATTCTATTTTATAAATCTAAACACACTGTAATTTGCATAGCTTTTTGAACAGCCAAGCTTTAGATGTATTGTGGATTAAATAGGTAACCCCAACTTAATCTTAAACTAATAAAATAATTTATTCTTAAACCAATATAATAACTTAACCTTAACCAATAGAACTACTATATATATCTACACCTTAATTTATTAAAAAAAAGAAATAGCATAACATAAGAAAAGATGCCATCTTATTGATATTTTTTACAGGTATTATTTTTAAAAACTAATAGAAATAAATTTTGAATATCTTATCTTTTTTATGAAGGTTATATAAAAATTGAGATATAATCAAAATGCAAAAAGATTTTTAGAAATAAAATGAAGCCAAAAAATTTGTTGCTTGTACATTCTTTTTGATGTTTGTCAGCATAATTTTTTTAATAAAAAGTCATAAAACTGAGCAACCTTGCAAGTCATTACATCTCTGATACCTATTTTGAAATTCACAATACTTGAAGTAATCTTTTTGTGCCATACGAGTCCTTTTAATACTCCGCATCCCTACTTGGATCATGGTTTTACTTAGATAACCTTAACACAAACATCAAGGTTTTGAATAAGCTAATACTTTATATCAGATTACAGAACCTCATACAAAGTATATCTGATACCTTATCAGATGTTTATCAACTTTGAAAAACAACTTTACAAATTATTTTGGTTTTTGAACATGCAACATATAAATGGATATTAATGAATATAAACGAGAGAAACACAGTTTTTTAAGATATACACCAACATTTGTATAAAAAATTAATAATATAAAACATTTATATCTGTAAAAATAGAAAACTTGTGAACACTTTAGTTCATTACTTATTTAATGTAACAAATAGCTGTTTGAATATACTAATTATAATTCCTAAATTACTTTTTTGTAGCAGTTTATACATTTTATTCACAGTAGTACCAGTCTTTGCATTACTAGAGGTCTTTCAATAATAACACCGTTGTAATCAATAATAAACTTGTTTATCAACTTAATAATAACTTAATAACAAGCTAATAATATGTAACCAAGTAAAATATTTATCCTTCATAAAAATATTTAATGAAGTTACAATACAAGTATACAAAAAAAAAAAAAAATGCAGAATAAAATCCAGACAAATTTAAAATTCACAAATATGGAGTAAAACAGAAAACAAAACAAAAATATAAAAGTAAAAATAATAACTAATATAAACGATAAAAAGATAAAACTTGGAACTTCAAAAACTTTCAAGCATTTTTTATTTTCATCTCAAAGCCTGCTTACCTCAGCCAAATAAAATAAAAAGTAATATTCAGTGTGTTTAAATATTCTAATAACACAATAATGTAAAATAAATATAAACTTACTTCATAAAATGTTCTGAATGCATTTCTCGATTAAACATAGACAACACTGATGTGTTGCCTGTCACACGTTGCAAGTTAAGATATTTGTAAACATTTTTTTATACTGTTTTATTTATATATATATATATATATATATATATATATATATATATATATATATATATATATATACCTAATAATAAATATTATTTTTATAAAAAATATTTTTTCAAATATAAAATTAAAAACTTTTTTTTTAATGTTAAGCAACAAATAAATAAAAATTGTATAACATTTACATTTAACATTCAAGATAAAGTCTTAAAAAATAGTTTGTTTTTTAATCAAATAATAAAAAAATATTTTTTAAAAATGGCTGCCAGTTTACTGAAAATTAGTTAAAAAGTCACATAGAAACATCAGAGATAAACTCATACTTATCTTTTACCTCATTTTTAAAAAAATTCCACAAATGGTCCTTAGTGTGTTAGGTCCATATTTAGTTAGAGATTTTAAAGTTAATTCATTATTTTAGGTTTTAAGACTTTTTGAAAATCAAAAATGTCAATTTTTACAAGAAAAAATAAGATATCTCAAGATATATTCATTAACTTTCAAAATCTCTAGCTAAAAAGAAAGATATTAATGTAAGTATCAATTTCAAATGTAAAACTGTGTGTATAGAAGAGTTAACATAGTGGTTTATCGAGCATCTTTTTGTAGACTTATTTATTATGATTAAAATAATACGAAGATTGTGTAAAAATACATATATTCTTTTATGAACAAAAAATACAACTCCTATTTCAACATATTAACACATAAAAACATTCAACTTCAGACCAATTAAGCCATGATCCTTGGTTACTTAACTGCATATTTTAGTTTGGACTGAAACAAACGTAAAAATATTCCAGTCTACACGACATTTAGTTTTAATAGTCGCGCGAACAATTCGCGCTGAAAGATTTTGGGACAAAAATTAACGCCGTGTCATTTAACATAACTGCCGATGCAATTGATTTCGTTTGACGCCAGAGCGACTTAATGGATAAGGTTTTAGCAGGATCTCTTAAGATCTTTAAAAAGTTTGTAGTTTTTTTTCTCATTTATTTCTAAACAAGATCTTAATAAGATCTTAACAAGTTATTCAAAGAAATATTTCTGACAAAGCTTATTAATATACAAATAAGTTCTTACTAATTTATGTAGGATAAAAAAGATCTTACGGATCCTAATAAGATTAGCAAGATTCGTTGCCCTGGGTTAGTAATGATTACCTTACGTTAGGAGGTTTTATTGATATTTCTAAATCCTTTGACCGTAAATCACGTCATTCTTCTGAAAAAACTTGAAGTGTATGGAGTAAAAAATAAAAGCTTAATTTGATTTAAAGATTATTTATCAAACAGAAATACATCCTGTATGAAACAACAAAAAGCACCATAATTTTCGGGGCTCCCCAACGCTTGCTCTTTGGACCGTTATTACTTTTACTCGATATAAATGGTTTATATTCAACATCAAAAAAATTGAATTTTATCTCATTTGCCAATGTCTTAAGTTTGTTTAATTCAAATAAAGACATTAAGACACTTTTAAACTTAGTTAACAAAGAATTACATAAAATAAACAAATGATTCAGGTGTAACAAACTTTCTATGAATGGCAAAAAGACTAAACTCATCCTATTTTATTAACCAAATAAAAATGAAAGTTTTCCTTTCAAACTACCTGATCTAAAAATAAATAATGCTAACATAAAAAGAGTAACTTTTATAAACTTTCTAGGTGTGGTCTTGGATAAAAATTTGTCGTGGAAGCTACATATAAACATTTTAGAGTGAAAGCTCTTAAAAACTATTTTATTAATGTATAATGCAAAACCTTTTCTAAGTATCTTTGAAAAGTTTATATTCTTCGTTAATACATAGTGACCTAAGCTATGGTAGCATAGCCTGGGCAAGCACAAACTATACTAAGCTTAAAAATTCTACAGTAAACATAAACATGCCTTTAGAATAGTCTTTGAAGTAAGTAAAAAAGTGTCTTGTGAAACTCTTTTATGGAAACTTAAAGCGTTGAATTTGAACAAAATTAACACACATAATTTTAAAATTTATGCACAAAATAAAACATGAACTCCAATATTTCAACCCTAAATAAGCAAAATAAGTCACAAATACCTTACTAGATTCTCATATAAAAACTTTTTCATTCCAAAATTTACAATAAAGTTAAATTCATATTCAGTCCAACACTGCGAACCACGAAATATGTGGAAATGTTTGCCCCAGGTTGTTACTATAAAGAGAAATAGGCCGATATATATATATATATATATATATATATATATATATATATATATATATATATATATATATATATATATATACATATATATATATATATATATATATATATATATATATATATATATATATATATATATATATATATATATATATATATATATATACATATATATTTGTTAATTTTTATTAACAAATATATATATACATGTATATTTGTTAATAAAAAAAATTTACAATAAAGTTAAAATCATATTCAGTCCAACACTGCGAACCACGAAATATGTGGAAATGTTTGCCCCAGGTTGTTACTATAAAGAGAAATAGGCCGATATATATATATATTTTTTTTTTTTTTTTTTTTTTTTTTTGTCTTTTATTAAAGCTTTACAAATACGTGATCATAAATATAAACTAGTTCGTTTACATTGTATAAAAAAAATACCGTACATATAATAAGAAAACTTTTTTTAATACAAATAATAATATATATAAAAAAGTAACACTGTTAAAAGACGCGGGAAACTTGCAGAAGACCATTTTGGTCTTGTCATCAAGAAACCGCTTTTAGTTGCGATATTTTGTATACTTAATTTATTAAGAAATTTCAGTTTGTCAAAGTCTCATGGTGGCATAAGAGTCACACATAAAAAGCTACTAGATAATCAAAAACAAAAAACGGAAAAGAGCTGTATTTGGTACACATAAATATATAGTTACATGGTTTGTTATACTTAGTATATTGACATGTACGAAATATAAATAAAATCTAACATTTACTTTGCTTTAAACTGGATTTTTTAGGGGTTTTTAGTTATTTGTTTTAATATACGTTTGTAAAATTGTTTAAGTTTAGAACAAGTTTTTTTAAAAGTGTTTTCAGAGAATTATGGTTAAGTAGTTTTGTAATTATAGTATTTTTAGCTATTAGTTTGTTGTAGAGGTAAGGGCCGCGATACGAGATGGAGAAACGTGATAGTTTTGTTTTTTTATATGGTACTTTAAAATTTCCTATTCCTCGAGTTTCATATTTATTTCTATTGCATTTAAAAAATTCTTCTGAAAAATGTAATGGGACAAGTCCGAGTTTATATTTGAGCATGAATATCAAATTTTGGTAAATGCTAATTTTGTAGACATTTAATGCATTTAGAAGCTTTAGCAAAGGTTCGGCATGAGTAAATTTATCTTTATTAAATACTATTCTTGCAGCATGTTTTTGATGTCGATAAAGTGCCACTAGGTTGGATCTATGGGTACTTGCCCATGCTATATTACCATACTTATAATAGGTTTGAATGAAGGAGAAATAAAGTAGCTTTAAATTTTTTTGGGGTAGCATCGGTCTAGCTTTGTAAAGCATGCAAATGTTGTTTCTTATTTTGGTATTTAATAAGTTTATGTGAGCTTTCCATGAAATATTCTCATCGATAAGTATTCCTAAAAATTTTGTTGCTTTGGTTCTTTCGATAAATTTATTTTCTATTTTTAGAGACGGTAATGGAATTGGTATAGATTTTTTCCTTTGATTGGTGTGAAATAGAATGTAGTTGGTTTTTTCTGTACTCAATGATAATTTGTTAGATTTAAACCAAGTATTAGGTTTTTCAAGTTCAATACCTGCAGTTTCGAAGAGTTCTGCGATAGAAGTAGATGAATAAAATAAGTTTGTATCATCTGCAAACATTATAGCATCAAGTTTTTTTGAGACTTTTGGAAGATCATTGATGTATAGCAAGAAGAGTAGGGGAGCTAGAATGGAACCTTGGGGAACTCCGCATTTTATTTTAAGTAATTTTGAATGGGTATATATATATATATATATATATATATATATATATATATATATATATATATATATATATATATATATATATATATAAACTTAATATATATATATACTAAGGACTGGCGAAGTCGTCTTTTTAAGACTCGAATTTAAATGAAATTAGATCATATGCGTGCACCGAATTTAACTGAAAACCAAAAATCGGATTTTAAAAACACATATAAGGGGCCATCCATAAAGGGCGTCATCCAAATAGGGGGGGAGGGGGTCGAGTTAAAAAGGACAAAAAAGGACAAGGGGAGGGGGGAGGTTGTCAGAAAAGGACGTCACTTTATAGATTTTTTATTTTAATTTAATTAACATGGAAAACTACGTAAACATGTGTTTTTAAGAAGATAATGTATGAGAATATTTTTAATTTTATTTTTCAAAGGTGTAGCAGCAGATTCAAACATCATTGCGAGATGAAATAAATTTTTTTGGAGTTAAAAATAGGGGGGGGGGGCAGGATTTTATGACGTCTTTTTCAAGGTGGGTAGGGAAAAAGGACAACTGGTGACAAAGGGGGGGGGGGGAGTGGCAAAAAATTAGCTAAAAAATGATGACGTCTTTTATAGATGGCCCCTAACTTAATTTTTTTAAGAACTTTTATTTTTTTATTTTTTATTTTAGATTTATTAAACACCCACTATACAAGTAAGGTAAATTAAGAGTTTTCATACAAGATAAATATAAAAAATCTTGGAGTATTTTTTTTTTTTTTTTTTTTTTTTTTGTTAACGTGATTACCTAGGAATATGTTTTTCAAGAATGTCCTTGAAGATAGTTCTCTGCTCATTTAAGTTCCAGTACTCAAATGCACATTTTAGAGTTTGAAGATCCGTTTCAGGAACTAAATATTTGAGGCCGATGTTTTTTATTTTTTTTTTACTTTACATTATTGTCTCCAGATTTAGTTCATGATTATTGCACAACCCTTTGGTACTATCTAAAAAATGTTGTGGGGTTGTTTTGTTTTTCTGCTTC